CGTGCAGCAACGGAGACCCAACCCAGCCAAAAATAAATAAATTAAATAAATAGATATATTTAAAAAAGAAAGACTTTGAAGCATACTATGCACAACTTGATTTATCCATCTAAGAGTCTATCTTGGCAATTGTTCCATCTAAGTACATCTAGACGTCATTCCTTCTAGGCTACTCCATCTCACAGATATCCCATATCCTTTCCCCTGATGGATATTTAGGTGGTTACCATTGTTTTTTTGTTTTCTTTTTGGATTTTTTTCTTTTGCTAGTACGAACAACATTCTGGTGCACATGCCTTTGGAGACTCATATGAGTATATTCCATGGGTACAATGGAAGAGTTGGATCCGAGCGTGTGCATTTTAAATTCTGACAGCTCTTGTCAGATGGTTTTCTAGAGAACTTGAAACAACAGTGTGCGAGAATGATTATTTCCTCACCTCTCTGCAACATGGTGTGTTCTTAATACTTTGGATCTTTTTCTCCTTCATAGGTAAAAAATAATATCAACTATGTTGGTTGTGTATTTCTTTAATTATGGTGAGGCTGAGTGTATTTGACACGTTTATGGACATTTTGTGTTTTTCTATGAACTTTGTACCTTGATTTCATTTTTATCAAGTTCTCCACCTTTTTAAAAAAATTATTTATTTATTTATTTTTTGTGGCTGCGTTGGGTGTTCGTTGCTGTGCGCGGGCTTTCTCTAGTTGCGGTGAGCGGGGGCTACTCTTCGTTGCGGTGCTCAGGCTTCTCCGGTGGCTTCTCTTGTCGCAGAGCATGGGCTCTAGGCGCACGGGTTTCAGTAGTTGTGGCTTAGTTGCTCCGCGGCATGTGGGATCTTCCCGTGGGATCAAACCCGCGTCCCCTGCATTGGCAGGCGGATTCTTAACCACTGCGCCACCAGGGAAGCCCCTCAAGTTCTCCACCTTCTAAAACTGGTTTCTAAGAGCTCTTTGTACATCAAGGGAATTAACCCTTTTGTCTGCTGGTGTTGCAGATCTTTCCCCAGCTTGCCTTAAGCTTTTTGATTTTGTGGGGTTTTTTCCATAGGAAAGTTTTACATTTTAATGGAGTCAAATAGATCAGTCTTTTCTTTTATGGCTTCTGGGTTTTGTATTCCCCACTCCAAGATTCTGAAAACATTCACTGGAGATTTGATTTGTACTTTTGTGGTTTATTTATTTAGTTTTGTTTTGTTTTTATTTTTTTGGCCGCGCTGCGCGGCGCGTGGGATCCTAGCTCCCCGACCAGGGATCGAACCCACGCCCCCTGCAGTTGGAAGCGCGGAGTCTGCATGTGGTGTATTTTTTATATTTAAATCTTGGCTCCACCTGGAGTTTGGTGCTCCAGCTTGTTTTTCCCAGTGGGCTGCCAGTTGTCCCAACACCATCTTCCTGCCCCTAACGTGAACTACATATTTGTCAGCTTTGACCCTGGCATTGGATGGCAGCCCCAGGCTCTCACCAGCTGCCTTCTCTTTCCAGGTCACCGAGAGTGAGCCCAGTGTGATGTGGCTCTCGGGGCTGCACATCCCAGAATCCTACCTCACGGCCCTGGTGCAGGCCACCTGCCGGAGGAACGGCTGGCCGCTGGACCGCTCCACCTTGTTCACGCAAGTGACCAAGTTCCAAGATGCAGACGAAGTGAATGAGCGGGCGGGACAAGGTACGGTCAGCTCCCTGCGGATTCACGGCCTCTCATGTAGGGTCTCCCTCCCCAAGCCACCCTCAAAAGGGCTGAGCACAGTGTGGGCCCGGAAAGTCAGACTGCTGCAAATACTGGCCATGTTTGTGTGCTGTCCACGTGGGGCTTGACGTCTCTGAGGGTGAGTCCAGATGTTTCTTTTCCAGTTTTTCCACCGAGACGTGGGCTGATGTCAGGGGAGAGCTGAGCCACACTCGCCCAGCTTGTCTGTGGGAAATGGGCTACTAGGTTACAAAGAACTGGATCGCCAGGTGGCTTCCCTGGAACCCATGAAGGCCCGGGGGCATGGTAGCCAGAGAGCAGGATGGGCCAGGCGGGAACCGTTCAATTGTGCTATAACGTCAAGTCCCTTAGACACTGGTTACTGACTGTGTGAACTGCGGCTGGAAACTGTGGTTTCCCGGGGGGTCGTGTCTTAGAGGACATCTCGCTGCAAGCACAAAAGCCCTCTTCAGCTAGCTTAGGGAGAGGGGGTTTATGGTGAACATTGTGGAGCGCTCAGTCCCCTTTGTAGAAGGCCAGCGAGGTCTCAGAGGGACTGGCAGTGTTGGGGTGGCCATGGTGCCAGCTGACTCTGGGGCCCGAGGCCAGCTAAGTCTGTGGGCCTTGATGCCACATTGCTGGGGAGAGGCGACCACCCCTCTTCCATGGCGCTGTGGCCATATGGAGGGTCACGGGGTCTCCAGGGTGTCCCATCTGGGCTCTACAAAAGGAAAGTGGGCGGGGTAGAAATGGTGGCCACCCCTTTTGGGAAGAGGCCGGGGCTGTGTCTGGGGAAGGAGAATCAGTTAGTTACCCTTTTGTTTGTCCATATGCGCATCTGCTAGAGCTGCCGCTCGCAGGGCAGAATGACACTTGCCTCCACCTAAGTGCGGCTCTCCCCTGGTGCCTCTAGGATGCTTTGTCTCAGGACTCTATCTAGAAGGCGCTGACTGGGATGTAGAAAAAGGATGTCTTATCAAGAGCAAATCCAAGATGCTGGCCGTCGACCTGCCGGTCGTGAAGATCATCCCCACTGAAGCCCATCGCCTCAAACTGCAGGTGAAAGGCCGATGCCTGCCCCGTCTCCCCTCTTCTCTGACTGGAGTTAGACACCAGGTGGTTTCCAAGAGTCTTGCCTTTTAGCACAGGGCCTCTTAGCCTTTCAGGGCTGGGGGAAGCCTTTGGGCCACGTCCCGGGGGAACAATGCACGCGTGCGCATGCGTGTGTGCAGAGCCTTCCGGGGGCGGCGCGGGTTCAAGGTTGGAGGCTGTGGCGCATTGTGTGGATCGGAAGGTAGCTACATCCGGTGTGGACGGCAGGCGCCCTTGCAGGACGGCCTGCTCTGCCGGCCGACCCCGCTTCTCATGGGTGTCAGCAGAGCCCGGCACCTCGCGGGGCCCCTCCGCACCCGTAGCGCTTAGACGAGCCTTCGCCCTCCCCGGGACCCACGCTCCCCTCTGCCTGCACCGGCAACTCACGCCCCTTTCCTGTGCAGAACACTTTCCGGACGCCCGTCTACACCACCTCCACGAGAAGGAACGCCATGGGGGTCGGCTTGGTTTTTGAAGCCGATCTCTTTACCACGAAGCACATTTCTCACTGGGTCCTGCAAGGGGTGTGCCTCACCCTGAATTCTGATTAACCCTCTGGGTGAAGAAAACGGCACGAGATTCAGTCTGTGGCCAGCAACGGATATGCTGGGAATTCGTGAAGACTCATCATCTGCTGTCACTTCTTGGGGCCTCTCGAGGCAGGAGGGGGGTTGACACTGATTTTTTTTCTTTCATTTGAAATCAGCCATTTATATGTCTTTCCATATGAGTTAACCTGGTTTTATTTTTTTTAACTTTTAAAAAAAGAATTCTGTGGTATTCAAAAAGTAAATTCAAAAAGAGCATTTTAAGACGTGTCGAATTTGCTTTTCCTTCTCAGGGGAACAACTCAAAACTGCCTGGCATGTCGACGGCACAAGTGAGAAGTCTACCGTAAATTGTCAAAGGTGGTTTTTTGATGGTCCAGGTCTCTTTCAGCAGACGCCTCTCTGGAGCGAGGGCTGCGTGCTGGGGCGCGGGGTAGAAGGCCGAGGCTGCTGCGCGGAGGCAGCAGGGCCCCCGTCCCTGGGCTGATGAGGCCGGAGTCACCCACACCCTTCCAGAACTCTCCAGCCCGGCTCCCCGGGCGCTGGCCTGGCAGCGTGTGGGTGAGGGTGCTGAGCCTGGTGTTTTGATTCCTGCGTGAGGCTGTGAGGGGTTGGGTGCAGACGTAGAACCTGAAGGACCGGCGGCTACCGGGCGTCCCTTCCTCCTGCGCCCCTGGGGCTACTCCGGCCAGGCCCGGCCGGGGGCGAGGAGCGGCTTTACCCTGCGAGGGAGGAACAGGGCTGAGCTGAGCGCTAGAGGGACACGAGGGCGAGGCCAGTCACGGGGACAACTGGCTTTTGCTAGAACCTCCGAGGCGCAGAACGTTCTAAGGGATGGCTCAGGGCAGTGAGACACGGCAGGGGCCTCGTCTTTCCGGAAGTGAACCCCACCCCGGGACGCACCCCTGGGTGAGCCCACTGTCTGGGCAGCCGCTTTTTCTTCCCCTCCCACTGTTCCCCCCCCCCCCCCCCACAGGCCCACCCTCGGGTGGTTTAATAAAAGACACAGAACAGAAAGAAGGCAGGTTTAGAAAATAAAGTTTGTTGGGATCTTGAACATTTTGGATAAAACTAACAAAAAACAACACACATTCAGGTCGTGGTGATACGAGGAGTGACGTCATCTTATTTAGTTCCCGTGACTTAATATACATCTGCTCGGTTACCCGTGCCGCCCCCGTGGGAGGGTGTGTCGGGAGGTTACGTGTGTGTGTGTGGGGGGGGGTGTCTCCTGGAGGGAGCAGGGCTGCTCCGGACAGGCCGCCCTGGAAACGGGAGGGATGAGGTCAAGGTCGTTATGTGTTGCTCCGACTTTATAATTAGGCGTGTGACTATCTGATGTCGTTAACGTCGAGCAGCGGCGCAGCCTGCGGCCCGTGCCTTGTCCGCGAGCGCGCTGAGATTCCGCGGAGCCGGGCTGGAAGCAAGCGAGTCGGCACACAGGTGTTTGGCCGCAGCGATAATGTAAGTACGGATTCTGTAGCAGGGACACGATCGTGTTTCGGTGTCGCTCAGAGGGCAGAGGGGGCGCAGGAGAATAATCTGTTGACAGGCGTGAAAACAATTCGGCATGCGTGGGGATTGAAAGAGAAAAGAAACAGGAGGTGCGGCTGAGTTTTTCCTAGGCGTGATCACAGTGCCTCGAGAGCGCGGGCGAGGGTCGCGGGGGGCCTTCACACAGTTCTGTCCGTCCCTGAGTGCTTCCTCGCCACCTTGCCGCCTCCGTTCACCTGGTCCACCGCCAGCGTCTCCACCTCGGGCGGGGCCTGCGCCGGGGTCGCGTGGTGGATGCGGTGCGCCACGCCCACGTGCGCCCTGTGCGGCTTCTCGCGGGCGGGGCTGGGCTGCTCGCCGGCGCTGCGGTCCGAGGCGATGGGGGGGATGACGAGGGGCCGCTCCTTGACGAGGTGGACCTCGGCCGACTCCCTGGCCAGCAGGAACGGGGTGGGGTCGGGCATGGCGTCCACCGGCTCCCGCAGGAGCAGCTTCCGGCTCTCGGCCCCGAGTCTGTAGACCTCCTCGAACTCCGGGTGCAGCGGGGCCGAGAGGCTCTTCTTCATGCGGCGCCGGGGCGTCTCGGGCAGCCTGTCCTTGGGCGGGGCCGGCTTGCAGCTGGCCCGCGCGGGGCTGCCGGCCGGGCTGCCGTCCGAGGTGCCGCCGGAGCTCAGGAGCTTCCTCTTGGTGGCGTGCAGCTGCGACGTCAGGTAGGCGATGGTGCCGGCGCGCTGCTCCAGCTCGCTGCTCAGCGCGCCCAGCTTGTGGCTCTTCACCTTCAGCTCCTCCAGGTACCGCCTCTCGCGCTCCTTGATGCTGTTCTCCAGCACGACGACCATCGCGCTCTTCTGCTCCAGCTCGGTCAGCAGCTCGTTGTTCTCATCCTCCTTCAGTTTCAGCTGGGCCTCCAGGTCTTCACATCTTTTCTTGAGTTCGCTGCTTCTAGAAGAGCCGTCTCCTGGAAGGACAAGCCGAGGGGGCGGGGTGAGAACCCGAGAGCAGGGCGGCCAGGCCCGGGGGTGGGCAGGGAGACCTTCTGTGCGGGGATCGGGGGTCGTGGAGGTTCCCCTGGCCAAGATGGGCGCGGTGCCCGCAGGCCACACGGAGGGTAGGACCCCCATCGCTCGTGCCACCTCCGTGTCCTCTCCCCCCAGGAAAGGGTGGGAGATCAGGCGGTCTTTGGGGCCCCATTCCGCTCTCCAGCTTATTGCATATAAGGATGATTCCAAATTTCAAAACTGCTGACGTTAAAATGGGCAATTTCAGAGTATTAGACCTCTCCAAAGGCTTAGGATTAAACTGTTAGCAGAGCCATCTGTCTGTGCCATTCAAAGCACGGTTTGGAAAGGCAAATGTAGACTTTCTTTATGTCTAGAGCACCAAAGCTCTGAAATTGCGGAGGAGACTGGATGCCAGGCTGCCACCTTTCCCCCGACACGGGTCCCCTCTCTGCATCTCTCAGAGCATGGCATCCTTGGGCCTGAGCTCAGGCCCTACCTTGGTCCTTGGCCTGCCCCTAACACCGCACAGGCCGCCCTTCGGCAGGACTCTCCCTGGCTGTGCTCGCGCTGGTGCAGGGCGGCTGAACGGGGCGGGTGGTCCGTGAAGGTAGGAGGCCCTGGTGGTAAGGCCGGAACCCGTGTTTGTGGGTGCCTCTCAGGTGAGGATGCGGGTTCAGGGATGTTAGAGAAGCTGCCGAACAGCTCCTCTGATAGCCGAGTCTGCGTGTGCTTTCCACCACTGGGCGGGGCACCAGGCCCACCTGAGAGGCTTGCGCCCTGCCCCCCCCCCACAGGAGATGCCCCATGCCAGCTGTTACCACGAGCCCCTGATGAGGGGCCGGGTTGGTGGGCGGGTGGCCTTGGGATTCAGGGCTGAGAACCACGCCTGGAGAGGATATAGGGCAAGAATGGTGTTTCTACAGATTAGCGTGGGCCCAGAGGGGACAGGAAGTAAGGACAGCCTGATTTCGGTGACATGGATGGCAGGGGTGCGGGCTGGAGTCCCCGACTGGAGGTGGCCATCCTGCTCTCCTGAACCCCTGGAGGCCCAGTTCCTGGCCTAGGGGCTGTGGAGGGGATGCCTGGCACCCCTCCCCCGTCCCCAGGCCCCTCACCCACCACACACAGGAAAAGGGGGTCCTGGCTCCCGGAAGGCACACTTAGGAGACGTGGCACGGGTAACGCAGATGGAAAGTCAGTGCTGGATGGTGCTCTCGGGCTCAGGGGAACAGTCACGAGGACCTAGACACGCTCATGAATAGTTACTGCTCGTGTGAGGCCTGTTTAGAAAAAGTCATGTCGACTCAAATGCGGTTTCTACACTTTTAAAAGCCTCGCCCTGTTCTGGGGGGCAGCTGTTTGGGGCAGGTCACAGAGGCCCCGGCTCTGTGCCCTCTCCTCCAGCTGCCATCAGGCTGATGGTTCTGGGGGTCCCTGAGGACTCTGGTTTTGGGGGAGCATTTCTGGGACTAGAGTCTAGAGAAAGACCTTCAGCGCTGCTCTGGGGGCCACCCAGTAATGTGACCCCTCACTCAACCAGTCTGTAGAGAGCACACACTTTGTGCCAGGTCCTGTGCTAAGCTCCACGGACACAGAGGAGGTGGGACCCCGCTCCACCTCCTCTTTCCTTCTGGTTTAAATCACATCTGTTTCTTGATTACAGAAGGGGCACATCCTCACTGTAAAAAATCAGAAAACCCAGAAGAACACAGAACAGGCATTCCAAGTACGTGTGTCAATCAGAAGGAAACAAAAGCACTCACCCCTCCCACCCCACCGACAGCCCCTCGTCACACCGAGGGGTCCAAACCGCCCTCCCAACCTTTTCTCAGGGAGCCCTGGTCACACGTGCAACTCTTCACAGCAAGTGTGTTTTCTTCTACGTGTGTAATTAGTGGAAACAGGTGGACCAACGTGTGCCTCAACAGGAAACAACAGGAAGCATCAGCTTTTGGGAAGGGAGTTCTTACCTGTCTGATCCGAACTTTTAAGTGTCAGCTCATACGTTAAATCTAAAAAGGAGATCATATATGTTAATTTTGTATGATTACAGTATATTTCAAGACCTTCATCAACCCTGAAAACGCACAACCGATTCGCACGATCAGCCTGCGAGTCCTGCCCGAACAGGGCAGAGTTTGGCAGCATGAGAGGCAAGAGTGAGGACAGCAACTATCAGCGGCCACTGTCCTTACCAGGGTTCAGAGGGGGCCCTTCTTTTCCCTATGACACACTCCAGCACCCACAATTAGCAGGCAGCTTGCTCTGTGTAGTACACTTTGGTCATTGGTTCCAAGACGCACTGTAACTTCTAACCATTGCATCTGGATCCTTCAAGTCCTCGGTAAGCTGAGAGCTGGCTTTACAGCTTTACGCTCGTGCGTGTGGCCTTGGCAAAGAGGATGAGGTAACGCGTTCAAATGGAGTCCAGCGATGATAGGGTTAACCAGAGAGAGAGAAGAATAAGACCCCCTCCTCACTCGCCCCGCACAGCTTTTGAGCCAGCCAGTGCGAGATGACCTCGATGACAGGTCCTGCTTTGCTCTACAGCCCTGGCAGGCCTGGGACTGTCCCCCGCCCTGGTCCCCAGAGCTCGCTGGGGGCCCCGTACCTGTGCAGTGTTGCTGCAGCCGCCTGATCTCAGCGTGCAGCCCCTTGAGCGTGCTGGCGTGCTCCCGCTGAAGGAACAAGAGGTTCTTCTGCGCGCTGTGCAGCTGGTTCTCCAGGTTTGCGGTTGCCATGCTGACATCCAGATGACCTGCGGGGGACACAGGGCCTGGTGGCTGTCCCCGACAACGAGGGTCTCGGGGTGGCGGGCTGGAAGAGGACGCCGCCTGCCGCCTGCCCCCCTTGGCTCTGCGGGCTGGAGGGCAGTGTGAGGACCCGCTCCGGATGCAGAGGGCTCCCTGATTCCAAATCCTAGGCTCTCCATGGGCTACCCGACTTCAACAGACCGAGAGCAAAATCTCTCTTGACAGACTTCCCTGAGGAGGTGAGGCACCGCTGCCTCCGCTCAGGAGAACCGGGCGTGGGGAAGTGGAACCTAGAGCTGGCAGGCCAGGACGACGATGGGCGTGGCATTTTGGAGGGAAGCCCCGGGACCTCACAGAGTTGAGAGCCCCCCAAGTCCTTCTTTCCTCGGGAGTTTCCTGAGAACCATCTCAACGGGGCCACGTGGTGGCTGCAGGCGTCTGGAGGCCGGACCCAGACCCTGCCATCCGCCCCCACCCCCCACCCCCCG